GAAAAAAATGCCCCCCCCCCCCCCCCCTCCAAAAAAAAACTAAAGTAGGAGCTCCAGTGAGTATTTTCTTCACTAAAATAGCTACTCCCCTGAACACAGTTACATGCTTAATAGTCTGCTTCTACCATCGAAGGGCAGAGGCAGTACTCACCAGGGACCTTTCAGTGTGCCTAGGATGCTGCTAGATGACAGTGAGTTTCAGTGTTTGTTTAATGCACTAATCTGTGTGAGCCAAAGGGTAGTCCAATATCCCACAGAACAACACACTGGGACCCTGGCTATAGGCAGAGGTCACAAAGGCCAACTTCTGGGTGAATGAGGATGCAGTGGTCCCAGGGTCCTATCTTCTCCAGCCCCATCTGTTTTCCTTCATCGAATTCCTGAACATAGACTCCCCCTGCCCCTTGTCTCAGATGCCCTTCTACTCCTTTCCTCTACCAGTTTGCTCTTGAACTTGGAGACTATCTCTACTCTGGGGCCCTCCAAGTTTCTACCACACCTGAACCTTCTCTTCTCTGATATGTGATGCCCTTTTCAGTCTGCACCTCACAGTAGGGACTTGGGGGTCACAATATCAACATCCTGTGCAGTTATAACCTCCCTTTGTTTTTTTAATTTTAAAATTATCATTATTATTATTATTTACATTTGATCACTGTATATCATTACAGTATACAAAGTGAGTTGTCAACATACAACAGTAGAACTTAGTAGATATGGTCCTGTCTACCTCCTTCAGTGTACAGGTTAGGAGATCGAGGTCAAGGAATGCAAGTGACCTCCCTGAGGGGACACAGCTGTCTAGTGACAGCCAGATCATGGAGGAAAGTCAGGTGCCCTTGCTTCAAGTCCAGAGCAGATACCAGTTTCCCTTCACCTTTACACTTTTTTTTCCCCCTTTTTTAATACCGTATCACCTTTCCAGGGCTGGATATATCAGTTTCTTGGGGTTCTTGTAATAAATTACACAAACTTGGGTTGGAAACAACAGGAATTTATTCTCTTGCAGTTCTGGAGGTCAGACCTTAAGGCACTGGCTAGGCTTGTGTACTCTCCGGAAGCTCAAGGGAAGAATCGTTTTTTGCCTCTCTGCTTCTGATGGGACCTGGCAATCCTTGGCTTGTGGCAGCATCACTCCCATCTCTGCCTTTGTTCTCACATGCTCTTTGTCTCTTTCTGTCATCTTTTCCATGCTTTCCATCATTGACTTTAGAACTACTCTATCTGGGATGGCTTTATTGCTAGAGCCTCATTTTACCTGCCAAGATGCTTTATTCCAAATAAGTTCACATTTCCAGGCTCTGAGTGAATGTATTTTGGGGGTGGGTAACGCTATTCAACCCACCAAACTTGGAATACAATGAGAACACACTCCAGGCTGGATTCCTGACTGATAGTGGCACTGCTAGTGGTGTGAAATCAGACCATTGGACCACTAGAGGACAGCTCTGTGGAGGGGACTAGGGTTTAATGGCAAGGAAAAGAGAAAGGGCATGGTCTCAGAGACTACTGAGGGCAAGGCTCATGGGGTCTCAGCTCCTGTGTGAGTCAGAGCTGGGAGGGGTTCAGCTGGGCCTGGTGCCAGGAGAGGCTCCACTGCAGCCGCCCAGGCTCCTGCTGTGAGGGTAACAGAATCTTTGCAGTAAGCAAGAAGAGATAGCCTCTTTTCCTCCGAACATCTATTTTCCCAGGAAGGTATTCAGCTCAGCCCTCCCCATCTCATGTCTCCTGGAGAAACCCACATCAGAATAGAAGGGTGAAAGCAAGTGGCCCCGTCATGTGTCCCAGTCGGCTATTTGAGAAGAAAATGAGAAGGGAGGCAATGCTAGGCTTTGTGAAACACGTAGGCGGGTCTGTACACAAACATCGGCTCATACAAATAAACCAAACCTGGCCAAAAATAACAGAAAAGGCAACAGATGCTTCCAATTAAAATGTCAGCATCTCCCGAGAAGCCGAGTTCTCACGTGGTGTGGGTGCTCGGGGGCCGAGGACTACTGGAAGGGACCACATATGGAAATCTGTTTGCATTATACCACGTCCCAGATGCCACATAAGACACTGGCCTGACCTTGCAATTAACACATTGGCTGTTTCTGGGATGCAGTGTGTGGATACAGGGAAAAATCAGAAAGTTGTGAAACAGAATGATTGTTCCCACTGAGTCCTATAGGAAGTGAGGGACCCAGAGAATATTCTCAGAGAATACTACTCTGTGGGCATCTTCACCTTCATCTTCTCTCCTCTTTGCCTCCATTTCCCCATCTTCTTCAACATTGTTATAAAGGGAAAATCAGTTTACATGAGCAGCAGGCAACCCTAGTGGGAAAATGCTGTCAAAGATAGTCAGAAGGATACATGCATGGTGTATGAGAGAATGTGTTGTGGGAAGTGAATAAGAGGCACCTTATCCACCTCACACACTGGACTACGGTAACAGCACATGTAGGTGCATCTTCTCCCACCCTGCTATACTCCGAAATCCTTCATAAAATTGTTCCTTTCAACTTTGCTTTGCTGTTTATTAATAGATGGTCCTTCTTCCATTTTCCTCCTAGAGTAGCTTTGTTTTAGTTTTCCAAATGTTCTGTCTAGCCTTGGTTGGACAACTACTAAGGAAACCAACTAGGTAGGTAAGAAAATGGCAGATGAACAGACAGGAAACCAATACTGTTTTCTCCAAAGTCTCATCCTCTCATCAAACCAACAGAGAGCTTGTGTTTGAAAGGGTTCCTTATTCTGATAAATGAACCTCCTTCATCCCCTAATTATTTTTATTATCACCACTATTATAATAAAATCCACATTTTATAGCTAAAGATCCAACCAAAGTAATGTCCACAGGAAGGAAGAACAATGGGGAAATTAATGAACTGAATCCTCATTTGTGT